AAATACGCGAGGTGTTCAATTTTGTTGTCAAACATCTAATTTCACATGCTTTGTTCAGATATTACGATGTGTTTAGTTTAGCCGCTGAATGTCTATTTTGCCGCACAATGTTGAAATACTGTAATAAGTGTTAGTTTTAGTACTGACCTGTTGCGATACGGTGAAATATTATTTTTCAGGATTCATACGACGGCAGGTATCTGTAATGCCTGTCATTATCCGGGGATTATTTTTCAAGATCACTACGGTGAAACAGATGTTGGATTTTTAATGGCAACGGGACGGTTTCGAAGCAAAGCTTTCTTGAGATGCACATACCGTTTCGTCCACAATCATAAAACGTGTATTTATTTATCCATTTAAAACAGTATTTTCCACACTGACAACACATGCACGAATGATAAATCTCACGCATCTGATTTACATGTGTACACATCGACTCCCTACCCTGATTAAATCCTTTTGTATAAATGTCTTCGTAATTAAGACTAACAGCATCGGTATTGCACCAATCATATATTACATAATATGGGATCTATAGAAAGCATTTTGGGTTGAAGGGTAGTGCGATTATCTTGGGCAATAGACACAGAAGGCTTGTAGAATTAATACACATGTGTCAGAAGCTAACAATATGTCTATTGTGCAAGTCAAAACGTGAAAATAAACTAATAATTCAAACTCTTTATTTCTTTTTATTATTATAGAACGACGACCTTTTTTTGCTGAAGATCAAATAAAACCTACTAAATACATTTCATGCTTATATGTAACGCATAACTTTGCCAAACTTTATTTCAGAGAAAGCCAATTTAAAGATAGGTTACCAGGCAACGAAACCCACAGCAGCTAAATCGTCCGAGCGGTCGACAAGGGTTATCACATATTTATTCCTTTACAAGACAGATCTATACAGATCATATTATAAATTTTGTCATTTGAGGGATTAAAAGGTTCAACAAACTGAAACAAGGGTCTCAACTCTGGAAGTAATTTACAGAAATTGTTGAAATTTGACAGGCTTTTTCATTTTACTAATTTAAATAATGCATATAAATTTTATACAGATCACATGATCACTTTTGTCATTGAAACGTTTAAAATTCGCCATAACTCTAGAAATTATTGACGGAAATTGCTGACATTCAATAGACCTCTGTTTCACAAATTTAACTGATGCATATAAATTTCATACATATTTGATGATAACTTTCATCAATCGAGCATTAACAAGGTTTAACAAAGTGAAACAAGGGCCATAACTCTAGAAGTAATTATTGTAAATTGCTGAAATTCAATAGGCTTCATGGTTCCACTAATGTAAATAATGCATATAAATTTCACAAAGATCCGATGATATTTTTTAGTGGGTAGGTCAAAGTTTCAGATAGAACCTATGGTTAGATTCTGAGAAATCTCATTTGCAAAACACACACACACAAAAACCAGCGGCTGCCAGGCAGGATATGCGCGAATATCAAAAGGAACCGAGATCTTTGGGTTATAAACTTACATTTCAAGTTTCAACAAAATCGGATAAAAATTATGACCTCTATAGGGTCCACAACCTTGATATAACATATTTTTACTCTATTTGAGAACGAATGGCGGCCATTTTGTCCGTCAATTTTGAGCCGACATTCACGAAATTTGAACTCGGCCGCCCTTATGGTGTAACGGTGATATAATAATACGTTTTTTTAAATCGGATAAAAATTATGACCTCTATAGGGTCCACAAGCTAAAAACGCGATTATTCATACAATCAGAGGCCATAATTCAGGAAGTTACAGTCCGATATGCGTGAATATCAAAAGGAACCAAGATCTTTGGGTTATTAATTTACATTTCAAGTTTCAACAAAATTACATAAAAACTGTGACCTCTATAGGGTCTACAACCTTGATATACCATATTTTTACACTATTTGAGAACGAAGGGCGGACATTTTGTCTGTCAATTTTGGGTTTAATTTCACGAAATTCGAACTCAGCCGTCCTTAGGGTGTAACGGTGATATAATAATACGATTTTTTAAATCGGATAAAAATTATGACCTCTATAGGGTCCAAAAGCTAAAAACACGATTTTTCGTACAATCAGGGGCCATAATTCACGAAGTTATGGTCCGATATGCGCGAATATCGAAAGGAACTGAAATCTTTGGGTTATAAACTTAAATTGTAAGTTTCAACAAAATCAGATAAAAATTGTGACCTCTATAGGGTCTACGCCCAGGATACGCCCACATTTTCGAGAGATGGATAGAGAACAAGCTAACAAGAAAGTGATTTTTCCTACAATCAAGGGCCATAATTCAGGAAATTACAATTCGATATGCGCATATATCGAAAGGAACTGAGATCTTTGTGTTATAAACTTACATTTCAAGTTTCAACAAAATCAGATAAAAATTGTGACCTCTATAGCGTCCACAACCTTGATATACCATATTTTTACGCTATTTGAGAACGAATGGCGGCCATTTTGTCTGTCAATTTTGGGGCGATTTTCACAAAATTCAAACTCAACTGTCCTTAGGGTGGAACAGTAATATAATAATACGATTTTTTAAATCGGATAAAAATTTTGACCTCTAATGGGTCCACAAGCTAAAAACATAATTTTTCGTACAATCAGGGGCCATAATTCAGGAAGTTAAAGTCCATTATGCGCGAATATTGAAAGGAACCGAGATCTTTGGATTATAAACTTACATTTCAAGTTTAAACAAAATCGGATAAAAATTGTGACCTCTGTAGGGTCCACAACCTTGATATACCATATTTTTACGCTATTTGAGAACGAATGGCGGTATTTTTGTCTGTCAGTTTTGGGTCGATTTTCACGAAATTCGAACTCAACCGTCCTTAGGGTTTAACGGTGATATAATAATACGTTTTTTTAAATCAGATAAAAATTATGACCTCTATCGGGTCCACAAGCTAAAAACGCAATTTTTCGTACAATCAGGGGCCATAAGTGAGGAAGTTACGGTCCGATATGCGCGAATATCAAAAGGAACCGAGATCTTTGTGTTATAAACTTACATTTCAAGTTTGAAGAAAATCGGATAAAAATTGTGACCTCTATAGGGTCCACAACCTTGATATACCATATTTTTACACTTTTTGAGAATGAAGGGCGGCCAGTTTGTCTGTCAGTTTTGGGCCGATTTTCACGAAATTCGAACTCAACCGTCCTTAGGGTTTAGCGGTGATATAATAATACATTTTTTTAAATCATATAAAAATTATGACCTCTATAGGGTCCACAAGCTAAAAACGCGATTTTTCGTACAATCAGAGCCATAAGTCAGGAAGTTACGGTCCGATATGCGCGAATATCGAAAGGAACCGAGATCTTTGTGTTATAAACTTACATTTCAAGTTTGAAGAAACTCGGATAAAAATTGTGACCTCTATAGGGTCCACAACCTTGATATACCATATTTTTACGCTTTTTGAGAATGAAGGGCGGCCAGTTTGTCTGTCAGTTTTGGGCCGATTTTCACGATATTCGAACTCAGTCGTCCTTAGGGTGTAACGGTGATATAATAATACGGTTTTTTAAATCGGATAAAAATTATGACCTCTATAGGGTCCACAAGCTAAAAACACAATTTTTCATACAATCAGGGGCCATAATTCAGGAAGTTATGCTCCGAAATGCACGAATATCGAAAGGAACCGAGAGCTTTGGGTTATAAGCATACATTTCAAGGTTAAACCAAATCGGATAAAAATTGTGACCTCTACAGTGTTCACAAGCTAAAAACGTGATTTTTCGTACAATGAGGGGCCATAATCCATGAAGTTACAGTCCGATACATGCGATTATCGAAAGGAACCGAGATCTTAGGGTAATAAAACTATATTTCAAGTTTCGTTGAAATCGTATAAAAATTGTGACCTGTAGACTGTTCACAAACAATTGTGGACGGACGGACACGGGTGACGACAATATACGCCAACATGAAAATGTGGGCGTATAAAAATTGTGACCTCTATAGTGTCCAAAAGCTAAAAACATGATTTTTCGTACAAACAGGGGCCATAATCCATAAAGTTTCGATCCAATACATGCCAATATCGAAAGGAACCAAGATCTTTTGGAAATAAACCTATATTTCAAGTTTCGTCAAAATCGGATAAGAATTGTGACTTGTAGAGTGTCCACAACCAAATTATGGACGGACGGACGGACGTCCGTCCGAACGGACAGGGGCGACGACAATATACGTCCACATGAAAATGTGGGCGTATAAAAATAATAATACAAAAAGTGTTAGGAACGCTGTTATCAATAGGTTGTCAAATTATGACCCCAATAATTTAAATGAGCACAAAAATCAAACTCGTCAGAGATATTTTGATCCTTAACATTTTGACGTGAAGTTTCAGATATATTATCACTAAATTTGAACTCATTGTGTAACGCAGATATATTTTAACGTTAAATAAAGCTATTTCACACACAACAGAAAATATCATATGAAATACATGGATTTTGGATTTTATAAAGTGGAGATGCGGTTGACGTAACACCACAGAAGGTCATCTTCCAATACCTGTCAAAAATAAGACTCGCCTTGGATTTTCAAGGTGAGTTCCAACCAGCTCACTTTGAATTCTTAAAAGAGTGTCTGGATAAAGTAATTATCGGGAGTCTCTGAAAATCAACATGCTTTTTCGTCTCATAAACTTAGCTACTGTATACAAATTTCAACTGGATGATAACTTTAGTTTCTAGAGCAAAGACAAGCAATTGAGGATGGGGAGTGACAGCATTTTTTTTTTTAAGGTATTAAATCTGCAGGCCAAGGGCAAGACAACTGGAATACTGGTAGGTTGATGAGTGGTCTCATATTTAATGCGGAAACAAAACCGTGATGGAGCACACTTCAATATCCATCTTGTACCTTCTTGCTTTGTGCAAGATAGTAAAAACATATAATTTGATCTGGTGTGTAAATAATTCAAAATTTAAGTTTTTATTTACCATATTGAAGAAACTTTTAATTTTGTGTCCTTTTAAGATATCCCATATAATAACTTTACCATCATGACCAGCACTGAGAAATATATGAGGTGCTATTGGATTTGATTCTAGTACAAAAACTTCATCATCATGTCCCTGAAAATAACCAATTTCTGCATGTATTTCGATGTCTACGATTCACATGCTCACTAAGCTTATTATAAAACAATATTACAAAGTTTGAAAAAATAAAATTTCGCCTGTATAAACCAGACATGTCCAACTCAAATTTGCAAACATCTGACCGGGAATATATCCCTATTGAACATCAAGATATGGTGAATCGTATTCAAAATACCCGATCTATTTACTTTACTGAGGATTTTAACTATTACCCCATATATTTACTTTACTGGCGGGACTGATTAAGTAATTAAGCGATCGACCCCTTTATTGTGTACCACACCTACCTTTATTGATTAACTACTTAATTTGCCTTGATTGACTTCCTTAATCTACCCGATTTCCTTAATATCTTAATCCTGAAAACAATTTGTGGTTTCTACTTTGTCAGAAATTTTAATCCCCTTGATGTCAGTCGATGAGTCAAAGATTATTACTTCTTGATTAGAAAGTCAACAAACTTGTTACCTAACCGTTTGGAAGGCATAAGGAACAAGCGGTTGCCATGCAAGATATACGCCCACATTTTGCAAGAGATGAACAAGAGAACAAGCTAAAACAAGCCAACAGTGAGGCTGATGTCCCTCACCAAAATCCCAAAATAAATAGATGACACATAATAATTAATCGCACATTTACATACATGCCAAACTGAGGAGATTGAAAATCAGAATGCCTTGTATTGAGGGTAGAGCGAGGACCGCAGGTCCAAGTTCGATCAGTGCAAAGCACCATGAGCGCTGGAGGGCGTGGGGTTTGGGCCCCAAGAAAATTTTGAGAAATTAGCACCTATTTGCAGTACCTTGTATTATTGGATAAAAACAGCTGGTGATTTAGGTCCATGCATCTGAGGTTTTTTTTACCTATTTTTATACGAAAGTGTTCATTATCCTCATATATGCTTTTGGTTGCTCAAGTGTTTTTTAGTTTCAAAATGTTTTTTAATGTCCGTAATACCACCGTAAGCAACACATAAATCACTCCTACAGACTAAATAAAATTCGAATTCGTCGCCTCTACGCGAGGACGTAATGGTTACTGGAAATTCTTTGCCGTAAGTTTCCCAGTATTTTTGTCTGACATTTGTTTCATTTTGTTTGTCTTGACGACCGACACGGAAGTAGAAGTCGTAAATTATTTATACTGGGTTTTATTTATAATTGTAATTTGTTTTTTTCACACATGGAAAACAGCTTGAAAACATTTTTTATCAAGTCAGAAGGAAATATGGCTAAGGAAGAATCAACAACGTTACTGGCAACTAACGGTAAACCCGCCGTGTACTGTACGAGTGTATGCGAGAATGGCTCCGCGAAGCAAATAATATCCGCCAAGTATGCAAATTAGGCACGGCCTAATCTCGATTAGTCCAGACATATTAGCTTATTCCATTTTATATTAATAACAATCAAGAAAACTGGAGACATGTTTTCGGCTATTTCCGTCGTTTTACCGCAAATTATGCAAATGACGGAAATGACGGAAATAACCACATGACATTTTGATCTTGATTAGTTCAGACATAATAGCTTATTCCATTTTATATTAATAATAATGACACATGTTCTCGACTATTTTCGTTGTTTTACCGACTCATACTACGATCACTCGGCAAACCTCGGGAGAGTCCGGTACCCTATTAGATGCGTAGAATCTGTCGAGGTTTGCCGAATGATACTACGATAAACAGTATCGCCATCAGATTCACAACAAACAATAGAATGCCGAGACAGTCGTCAATGTAAAACTAAAACGAGAGGGATTTTATCAATCAAAAAGGTCAGGAATGAAATATAATAAATTTCTTCCAATAAATTTTAAAAAACGGAATTATAAAGAGTAAAATCGGAATTCAGAATTAGACTCAGAAAATCGGAATGATTCCGACAAAATCGGAATAGTTGGCATCGCCATCAGATTCACAACAAACAATAGAATGCCGAGACAGTCGTCAATGTAAAACTAAAACGAGAGGGATTTTATCAATCAAAAAGGTCAGGAATGAAATATAATAAATTTCTTCCAATAAATTTTAAAAAACGGAATTATAAAGAGTAAAATCGGAATTCAGAATTAGACTCAGAAAATCGGAATGATTCCGACAAAATCGGAATAGTTGGCATGTATGCATTTATTTTTTTCAAAAGTATCGAGCAATCATTGGATTACGTTCCAATTTGCTGTTCAACTTCCATTCATAATTAAATCAAACCAGCAGCTGCCATGAAGGATACGTCCACATTTTTCGTAAAATCACAGGCCATAATTCAGGAAGTTACAATCTGATATGCGCAAATATCGAAAGGAACCAAGATCTTTGGGTTATAAACTAACATTTTAAGTTTCATCAAAATCAGAAGAAAATTGTCACCTCTAGAGGGTCCACAACCTTGATATACCATATTTTTAAGCTATTTGAGTTCGAGAGACGGCCATTTTGTCTGTCCGTTTTGGTCCGATTTTTATGAAATTCGAACTTAACCATCCTTAGGGTGTAATGGTGATATATTCAAATGTTTTTTTAAATCGGATAAAAATTATGAACTCTATAGGGTCCACAAGCTAAAAACGCTATTTTTCATACAATCAGGGGCCATAATTCAGGAAGTTACAGTTCAATATGCACGACTATAGAAAGGAACCGAGATCATTGGGTTATAAACTTACATTTCAAGTTTCAACAAAATCGGATAAAAATTGTGACCTCTAGAGGGTCTACAACCTTGATATACCATATTTTTATGCTATTTGACAACTAGGGGCGGCCATTTTGTCTGTCAGTTTTGAAATTCGAACTCAACCATCCTTAGGGTGTAACGGTGATATACTAAAACGTTTTTTTAAATCCGATAAAAATTATGACCTCTATAGGGTCCACAAGCTAACCAGCATTTGCCAGACAGGATACGGCCACATTTTCGAGAGATGGATAAAGAACAAGCTAAAAAGAAAGTGATTTTTCCTACAATCAAGGGGTATAATTCAGAAAATTACCATTCGATATGCACAAATATCGAAAGGAACTGAGATCTTTGGGTTATAAACTTACATTTCGATGTGCGCGAATATCGAAAGGAACTGAGATCCTTGGGTTATAAACTTACATTTTAAGTTTCAACAAAATCGGATAAAAATTGTGACCTCTATAGGATCCACAACCTTGATATACCATATTTTTATGCTATTTGAGAATGAAGGGCGGCCATTTTGTCGGTCAGTTTTAGGCCGATTTTCACGAAATTCGAACTCAGTCATCCTTAGGGTCTAACGGTGATATAATAATAGTTTTTTTTTAAATTGGATAAAATTATGACCTCTATAGGGTCCACAAGCTAAAAACTCGATTTTTAGTACAATCAGGGGCCATAATTCAGGAAGTTATGGTCTGATATGCGCGAATATCGAAAGGAACCGAGATCTTTGTGATATAAACTTACATTTCAGGTTTCAACAAAATCGGATAAAAATTGTGACCTCTACAGTGTTCACAAGCTAAAAACGTGATTTTTCGTACAATCAGGGGCCATAATCCATGAAGTTACAGTCCGATACATGCCAATATCGAAAGGAACCAAGATCTTAGGGAGATAAAGCTATATTTCAAGTTTCGTTGAAATGGGATAACCAGCGGCTGCCAGGCAGGATACGCCCACATTTTCGAGAGATGGATAGAGAACAAGCTAAAAACACGATTTTTCGTACAATCAGGGGCCATAATTCAGTAAGTTACGGTCCGATATGCGTGAATATCGACAGGAACTGATATCTTTGGGTTATGAACTTACATTTCAAGTTTCAACAAAATCGGATAAAAATTGTGACCTCTATAGGTTCCACAACCTTGATATACCATATTTTTAAGCTATTTGAGAACGAACGGCGGCCATTTTGTCTGTCAATTTTGGGCCGTTTTTTACGAAATTCTAACTCAACGGTCCTTAGGGTGTAACAGTGATATAATAATACGTTTTTTTAAATTGGATAAAAATTATGACCTCTATAGGGTCCACAAGCTAAAAACACGATTTTTCGTACAATCAGTGGCCATAATTCCGGAAGTTACGGTCCAATATGCGGGAATATCGAAAGGAACCGAGATCTTTGGGTTATAAACTTACATTTCAAGTTTCAACAAAATCGGATAAAATTTGTGACCTCTATAGGGTCCACAACCTTGATATACCATATTTTTACGCTATTTGAGAACGAATGGAGGCCATTTTATCTGTCAATTTTGGGCAGATTTTTACGAAATTCTAACTCAGCCGTCCTTAGGGTGTAACGGTGATATAATAATACGTTTTTTTAATCGGATAAAAATTATGACCTCTATAGGGTCCACAAGCTAAAAACAGGATTTTTCGTACAATCAGTGGCCATAATTCAGGAAGTTATGGTCCGATATGCGGGAATATCGAAAGGAACCGAGATCTTAGGGTTATAAACTTACATTTCAAGTTTCAACAAAATCGGATAAAAATTGTGACCTCTATAGGGTCCACAACCTTGATATACCATATTTTTAAGCTATTTGAGAACGAACAGCGGCCATTTTGTCTGTCAATTTTGGGCCGATTTTTACGAAATTCTAACTCAGCCGTCCTTAGGGTGTAACGGTGATATAATTATACGTTTTTTTAAATCGGATAAAAATTATGACCTTTATAGGGTCCACAAGCTAAAAACACAATTTTTCGTACAATCAGTGGCCATAATGCAGGAAGTTACCGTCCGATATGCGGGAATATCGAAAGGAACCGAGATCTTTGGGTTATAAACTTACATTTCGAGTTTCAACCAAATCGGATAAAAATTGTGACCTCTATAGGGTCCACAACCTCGATATACCATTTTTTACGCTATTTGAGAACAAACGGCGGCCATTTTGTATGTCAATTTTGGTCTGATTTTCACGAAATTCGAACTCAGTCGGCCTTGGGGTGTAACGGTGATATAATAATACGTTTTTTTAA